ACAGTGGCCCTACTCTTGCCCAGTTCCACCAGCCTTGGAAAGGGCATGGCTCTGGTGCAGGCAGACCTCGGCCTGGGCCTGCCCAGGGCAGCTGCTCAATCTCACACGCGCGCCTGACTCAGGGCCTCTGAGCCACTGTCTGCTGGAGATTGTTAACCAGAGGCATTCTTACTTTCCAGACATCGTGGGCGATGAGTTAACTCATAGTAGGCCCTTTGCCCAAGGCCCAGCACACCACTCTGGCTTTGAGAATGCTGAACATCTGGGGCAAAGAAAGGGCTCACACTCATGAACCTGGTCACAAATGAGCACCATCACTGGAGTGGTGTTGGGGGAACTGAGGCTGAGCGATGTGACCTTGCCATAGATTACCTGGTGACTCCATTAATGGAAGGCCTGGGTTGTGAGCCTGGATCTCTTAATTCCTGGGCATGCGGTAGTGATATGTAATAGTCAGCAGCCCTATGGGCCCTTCCGCCCAGACCAATGAATCCCATGACAGCCAGGAGATTGTTTCCCATGGAGACTGTTTCAACATGGGGCAGAGCTCAAGGTCTGGGGGTGGATGAGGGCTTGGCCCCAGCTGGGCCCCCCATCCACCATCTGTGGCTTTCCAGGGGTGCCAGATTCTTGCCTCTGCAATGAGTTGAACTTGCTCTAGCTCTGGGCGAGGCTGATAATCCCAGCCACTCCTCGCTGAGCACTTACTATGTGGGCACTACCCAGCTGTTGCTTTTCATTCATGGAACCCTCCCAACAACCACGTGGACCTCCATGATACAAATGGGCAAAAGGAAGCATGAGCAGTTAAGAACATCCCTGCAGCAAGTGCGCGTGGGAGGATTTGCACTTGGCTTAGCCACTCTGTGGTCCTGCCTCTATGGTGGAGGCAAAGGAGTTGCGGAGAGCAGGCTACGGATGGAGCCTCATACCACCCCTACCCAGGGCTCTCCTGCCAAAAGACAGCAAGGGGGTTTGGGCCAGCCCAAAAGAGGCTCCAGGGGCCTTCAAACTCCAGCCATCTTCCAACTCCTGCCCCAGACATTGGCCATTTGCCTCTCAGCACAGGTGGCCCAGGCCTAACCAGTGTCCACCAGGGGCTGCAATGGGGGAGCAGAGGAACCCCAGAGAGGTCAGGAGGTCCAGGACTTATACCCCTTCCCCAGGTAGAACCCCTAAGATGCAGCCAGATGCCAGATGTCAAGAGGATGCCCAGGGTGTCTAAGCAGCCCAGAGCTCCCTGCACTTGTGAGGTGGCAGCTGTGGAATCATGACCACAAGCCACAGAGGGGACCACAGGCCACAGAAGGGACCTTTGCCAAGAGGGAAGATGATCAGAGAGCCCAGGACACACCACAGGGCCAGTGCCAAGGTCTAGCTCTGCAAGAATCAGCCTATAAAGTTTGCAGCTGGGGGTGGAGGGTAGGGTGGAAAAGAAAAGGAAAAAGGAAAAAAAAGTCAAAATCAAAATCAATAAATTTTAATTAAATATCTACAAGAAAATACATTGTCGAGGGGTAAACTGAACCCCTTCATGTGGAGTGAAGGCAGATTTGAATATGCGGGATTCAGCCTCTGAAAATCAAAATCAGGGGGCCTTCCTAAGGTCTCCACACGTGCCATCCCTGAAACTTACATGCAACCTGGAGGGAAGGAGGCCTCCCCCAATAATAATAATTATTATTATTATTATCATTATTATTATGTGAAAAGCCTATTACCATTCCGCTCTGCACCTTCAAAACTCCCCCAAATTATTTGAGATTACTTTTCTACCATGTGTAGGTGGGGTGGGGAGCAAAAGAGAAATTTAGGGCAGACTAGAAAAATGAAGTTCTGCTCCTCACACGTGTTTCTTTGTAAACGGAGCTTTTGAGTCACTGTGGATGTCACCGTGCAGTGCTGTCCTCAGTCTTTTCTCCCTGGGGACTGCTGAGACTCGCCCTACACTCCAACCCCCCTTCACACTTTAACCAGTTGGTTCACTGGCCTCCCAATCTTTCGAACTCCAGAGCAGAGGACCTGCCAATTAATTCGTCAATGCAGCTTTAAGGAATGGAGCCAGAGAGCTGGGTTTGAGACCAGCCCTCCAGAGCCTTGCTGTGTGATCCTAGGAGGGTCCCTCCTCTGCCAAGTCTGTCTCTGTAAGATGGAATGGAGGTGCTGACTTGGGCTGGTGTGTGGGTGCAGGAGGCTACAGCCACATGAGACGCTGCTTTTTATACAAACTGGATCGCTTTGGGCTTGGGGTTTGATTAATAAAAGCAAACCAAAAGAGAAAGGTCTGAACCACGCGGCTGGGTGTCGGAATCAGCCCCTCTGGGGTACGCCTGGGGGAGGTGAATTTTGATCCCTCCCCAGTCTTCTTGCCAGGACTCACCGTCTCCTCTGGCCTCAGCCCCCACTGGTGGGGAAGCAGGTTGGCGTGGGTGGGGAGCTTCGAGGGCTTGGCTCCTGGAGGCCTGAGTCAGCCGGCAGGCGGGCAGGGTGGGGTGGCCCAGTCCTCACATGCTCGGGAGGACTTGACGCAGGAATGTTCCTCCCGCCCAGGCACAGGCCCTGCCCACGGCATCCTGGCCCCTGCTCTTGTGGACACTAAGCTCAGCTCGAGTTGGAAAGATGGAAGATGGCTGGAATTTTGTTAGGAGGGTTCAGCCAGGAGCCTGCTGATCAGCCTGGCTGTGAGGTTGGCCCAGGGTGGTTAGGGCCAGGCCACAGAGCCTGGAGCATCCCCCACCCTGGTGGATGAGGTAGCCAGCTACCAGAGTTCATTAGGCCTCAGGGTCACTGTCTCTGCAATGAGTTGAACTTGATGCCACCTGTTCATCCCAACTACACACCCAGAGCTCTCAGGGTGTGCGCAGAACGTGGTACTTGTAACTTCCTCTAATTCTTCCTCAGAGACAACCCCCCCTTCAAGGCTGCTTGTCCCTCAAAGTTCTCTTGAAACTCTGATGAGCTGGGTTAGGCGTTATGAGAAGTGGCACAGATGCATCCAGTACAGCTACGCTTGTGTGACACCTTTACGCCTTTGTTATGTCCACGTGTGACTTATGTGTATCACGGTGTAAGGACAGGACTATGCACACAGGACTGTGGTGTGGCTACATGTGACAAAGTGGTGGAGACAGATGCTGTTAATTGCATGTGAGGCCATGGCTATGAGCATGTGGCAGGTGTGGACGTGTGGCTGGGAAGCAACTCCGGGAGCAAACGGGCACACGTGTCTGTGGCCAGGTGTGGTATGGTGGGCAGGTGGTGTGACCACATGCAGCTGTGTCTGCTTTGGGCTGTGTGTCTGCCACTGAGTGGCTCTGTGACTGCATGGATGTGTGGATGACAATGTGGCTCTGCCACGGGGCTGCCAGAGCCACTTGGCTCTCCCAGGCCTGGCTCTGCTCCAGTCAGTGGCATGGTCATGACACAGTGGCTCACAGCCCTCCTGTGTTCAGGAGGTGACAGGATATGGGATCTGAGGTCTGCCTCCATCCCCAACCCCCACATGAAGGCACAAAGCAGACTCCTCCTGGGTTGGGCCAAGATTGGGAATCAGGGGTCCCCCACCCCCACTCCAGGTCCTGGTAGCTGCCCAAGACAGAAAAAGAGGCCTTGTTTTCCACCCCCCTCAAAGTGAGGGAGGAAACTAGAGGCAGCTGGGCCCCGCTTAGTCTGGAACATCTGCCTGGCATGTGACTAAGGCCAGCAAGCCCTGCCACCACCAGCATGCCCCCCCAACCTGTCCCCCTGGTGTCAGGGGCTCCAGCTAGTGCAGAACAATCCCAAATCCCCCCAACACCCTAACCCATACTGACAGAAACCAGAGCGGGGCTGTGACATCCCCTGCCTCACCCATACACATCTGCACCCCCAGAGACCTCAGGACACCTGGAGCAGGCCTGGCCCACCCCAAGTCTTCACTTCTGGTTCTTCTCCTAGGTCCAAGCCCCTCTTGAGAAGTTGCTCTGAGGATGGTAGGTGTGGGAGGTGGTCCCCTCTCAACCAAGAGACACGGAGGGCAACTATTCCCCCAAGGCAGGAAGCATTAATGGGACTTTCCAGGCACTGTGGAAGATGAGGAGCATTCCACACTGCTCAGGAAGGGGACCCTTCCCAATGCTCAGAGCCTGCTCTGCAGAAGGCTACATGGAGGTCAAAGCTGAGAAGAGGTCAAGGGTGGGAAGTTCCTCAGATGGGATGGAAAATGAAGGAAGAAGGGCAGGGAAGGAAAAATTCCTCAGAAAGTCCCAGATCTGACCTAATTTTGATACAAGGCCAGGGGGACCCATTCCAGAAGTTCCTCTAAGGACACTTTGCCCTGAATGGGGAGCCCTGCCCTGAGTGGAGCCACTTCCCCATTTCCCTGCCATGAGCTCTCTAGTCCCTGGCCTGGCCAAAGCCTTACTGGTGTGTCCTCCACCTTACCCCACCTAAGTCCCCAACGCCTCTGGAGAAGAGCCATGTTTCTCTCCTCTCTGGAGGAATAATTCCAATCCACCTTGACCAGGGAGCCCCCAGGGCATAGCTGTGGGCACTATTCAGTTTCCAACATGGAAGCCACTGCAAGGTTGAGCACCCAGGACTGATTGGAGGGGGACGCAGTTTCTGAGTGTCTCCCTCCCTTCCCCTGGACTGGGGCTTTCCAGAGGCAAGGTCAGGACATGGCTCCCTTGGGACAGAAACAACCTGGGACTATCCTGGGCAAGGCCTCCTCTGCCTTCCTCCTACAACCCTCAGCATAGAGCTTATAGCACAGTCAAACCCCTGCACAGGACCCCAGCTATCTTAGATGGTGGGTGAGGTCCCAGAAGGTAGTGAGGCCAACTGGGGGTAAGGGCCATCTCTTGCTCCTCCCACCAGCCAAGTCCTCCCTCTCCCTTTCAACACTCTATAGTAAATTCTGTGCCAAATCTGGTCCTGTGGTTCCCAGGGACAATTCAGGTTCTATCTTTCCCCAACCCTCACCTCCTTCTAGGATCCAAACAGAAAAAGTCATGCTTCTCTCAACTTAATTGTAACAATTTATCAAGAGAAAAAAAGACAGAAAAAAAAATTTTAAGCAGCAGCAGCTATAGCAGACCATTATAGACCATGAGCTCCCGGGTGGGCAGAAGTGGTAAGGTCAGCTAACCCGACAGCTGCTGGCCCACAGCCTGGCCTTGGTGGGGGGCAGTCACCCCTGCAGGATGTAAACAGGTGGGAGACAGGCCAACCTGACCAGGAGCAAGAACTCCCTCACAGTGAGGCTGGCCAAGGGCAGAGGAGCCTGGAACCTCTTCTTTTCTCCCCTTAGGTTTCCTACTGTGCAACGTGAAGGACTCAGGAAGAAAGTGCTGGGGGCGGAGGACAGAGACCCTGGGAGCCTCAGATCTGAGCCTGTTTGGGGTACAGAGAGTTACTGCTGGTGAAATCAAATATCTAGGAACTTTGAGACTCTCCTTTGGGAAAGTGCCACCAGGGCCTGGGAGTCCATGGCTTGCCTCAGCACCTGTAGTCCAGACAGGAAAGGATGCTACATGGTCCTCTAGCCAAGAGAAAGTTGGGGCTCAGCAGAGGGGGGAGTCAGAGGCCTGCAGGAGGGAGTTGGCCTGCAGCCCCTCCTGCAGGCAATGGGATGGGGCAGGAAAATCCAGGGACATATGAGCATAGGCCTTTCCTCTGCCATAGGCCAGGGTTCCCCATGAAGAAGGCATCAAACTTGCTTAGGAAAAGTAAGGGAAATAAAAGCCCATGTTGGGCCTCTCCCACAAATGTCCTTCTCCCCGTTTACAGTCTGGTAGGTCCTCGTCATTCTTCAAGACATTGCTGGAATGTCACCTACCAATGGAGTCTCCTCTGACCAGCAAAATGCTGTGGTCTCTCCTGTGTGCTTCTACCTGTCACATTACATTGACTTTGCCTATTTCTGTGTCTGATCCCCACCTTGGATGGAGACTCCTCCAGGGAACACTCGTCCTACTTTGTGTGCCCAGGTCTGATCCAGGGTCATCGCTGGGCCATCATGGGCCTCTTGGTAATTTGCTGAATGAACATGGGTGGTGGCCAGATGAATGTGTGCTACGGGCTCCAGAGGAAGTGGACCCTGGCTTAGCCTTTAGTGACTGACCAGCAGCCCAGGCTTTGGCCTGGAGGGTGCCCAGCTCCATTCTCTCCCCTGTCAAGTCCCATCTTTAAAGGGGGGGAAACATTCCAGGGGCACCTGCGACTCCTCCAAGACCCCTTCTCTGGGGAGGATGAAGAGGCTGCTTACCTCACCCACCCCAAAACCCCACAGCCATTGCTGGTGCAGGGAGGTCTGAAGTGAGGTAAACGGTAGTGACCAGGCCTTAGGGTGGGGAGGGACCCAGGCCATGTGGTCAGAGGTGGTCGTACATGCGCAGGGTCTTCTCCAGCTGCTGGCCCACCCGCTGGTAGAACAGGATCTGCTGGCGCAGGTAGTTCTGCATCATGTGCTTGAAGTCGAGCTCCCGGCGCTGGTGGAAGTGGTTCATCTCGGCCTGCAGGGCAAAGCCCACCACACGGCAGCGCCTTCGAATGCCATCTGCCTCGTCTTGGGCCATGCGGCCCTCGTCGCTCATGCGCTGGCTCTCTTTCACCTTGGCAAAGGCACCTGGCAGGGCAGAGAGGACCGGCATGTTAGGGCTTGGGCCTCCTCTCTCTGCTCCCTGTGTGCTCCCTGAGCGCCATCAAAGGCAGACAACATCCTCATCAGCTTGATTCAGTCCTTATCCCTGGACTCCAGACCCACAGCCCAGCCACCTGGCTGTTTCCATCAGGGAATTCCCTCAGCACCTCCTAACCCGGGACATACCATCTTCTCTCCAAACCTACAGCACCAACAGCAGCTGGTCCCAATCAGTCACAGCCCCGCTAATGGATCAATTTCCAGGACTGGGAAATCCCTGACCCTCCCGATCACAGGCCTGACCATCTCACACTGACTCCTAATTCAGCCCAGGTCCCAGCTCCACCAGCAAACCTTCTCTGTGCCCTTTGGCCTCCAAAGGCCCTCCTGGTGACACCAAGCTCCCTGGCTTTTCCCTACCCCAGTTATTACACCCTGGGCAGAGGTGGCTGGATCAGTTCAGGGCCTGTCTTAGCTTCTGTTCCCTAATTCTCAGAACCAGGCCTGGCCCACAGCAGATTCTGATACAGGTCTGCTGAACAGACTGATCCTGTCCCTGGGCTGCTACAGCAGACTCACCCTTGATCCAGCTTGTCTGTCCTGTAGTACCCCAAAATACCCCCCAAGCTGGGTACCTTCCTTGGCTCCTCCCACTGCCTACAGATCAAGGTCCACATCTGTTCCCCTGGCCCAGGAGGCTTCTGGGAGTCAGTCTCTGTGTTCATTCCAAACTGACCCCATATTCATTAAACCCTCCCAGCTCCTTCATACCTCTGCCTGCTGGATCCCTATCCATAATTCAAGGCCCAGATCAGATGCCACTTCTACACCAGAGCCTTCTCCAGTACCTCCAAGCAGAATGCCTCCCCTATCTTATCTGTCCTGTCTCCCCATCCTGCCCACCATTCTGCTGATTCTAAAACAGTACTTCAAAGACACCTGATATGTCTCCCCTCCAAAGAGGCTTTGCCCACTCCTCTCCCCAGCCCTTGGGAAACAGAGGAGACTATTGTAATAACCAGGTGGCAGATGGAGGATAGGGGATAAACCTGAACAGGAGACCCAATATGAGAGAATCTGGATGAATCAACAAGTGCTGGTAAATGAATTTCAGTTCTGAATTATAAGGTCCTTGACTAATTCTGCCTTTAAGCCAGTGGGGACAGTTACTGGGAAGAGGAGGTGGTTTGCCTTGCCTAGCACCCACTCCTCCAGGACTGAGACAGAATCCACTGTGCAAAGAGGATAACAGAGGTGGGAACACAGCACCCTCCCTCCGGGTCCTCAAGGGCATCCACTGCACACACATAGCACGATCGTTATCTACGCTTTGCTGCTTCTCCTTTAAGGAGGACTCTTGAGGACCTTTTAGATGGTATTCTTTTTATTCTCACTCAAGGTGTCAGATGCATTCAAAGTGCATTTGCTGAGCACTTACTACATCCAAGCCCAGGGCTCTAGATGCTGAAAATATCTCTTGAGAGTCACCAGAGCCACTCACACAGCATTGAAAAGAAATCTGTAGTCCCTATCTCCTAACTTCCCAGGCCACTCCACCTTCTGTCACTCTCCCTCAACCACTTCCTACCCCCTGTTCCATCCCAACAGCCCAGCCCTGGGCAGCAGAATAGGGATCATCCTGAGGCCCAGTCCTCACCCCTCTACTGCTATAAGAGGAAACTAAGGTCCTGAGGGACAGGGACTTACCTAGGGGTTCCCAGACTCCTTTCTGCCCCATAAGTGGGGTGTGCTTGGCCCTCTACAGCTGGAAAGTGGACACCATCTTTGCTGCAGGGAGCCTATGCTGGACCCAGACAATGGACATAGGGATCTGAGAAGGTCCCAGGGGGTATGAGGAGCCATAAGAAGAAAGGCAGAATATAGGGCTGAGTGTGGTGGCTCATGCCTGTAATCCCAGTGACTTGGGAGTTGAGAGAGGACTGCAAAATCAAGGACTGCCTCGGCAATTTAGTGAGACCCTATCTCAAAATAAAATAAAATAAGAAGGGGCTGACGATGTGGCTCAGTAACAAAGTAGTTCAATCCGTAGGAAAGAAAGAGAAAAAGAAGAGAGGGGTTTGGGAGAGAAGGAAGGAGGGATGGGGAAAGGAGGAAGGATGAAAACAAATAGCAGGACAAAAAAAAAATGGAGGTGAGCTTCAGCCAAAGGGACTTACCTGAAGGGGAGACTTAAGCGCCTGGATTCCACCTGCCTGCAAGAATTTAGGGGCAATGGAGATGCATGGGCTTTCTTGCCCATGACCTTGGAGGAAGGAAAAGTTCCTTTTGTGGATGAGAAGACTGTGACCCAAAGAGCAAGAATGAACCTATTGCAATTGCTAGATATCCATAGGCAGGCTAGGGTTGGGGGGTGGGGGTAAAGGCTGCAGGGGTGGGGACAGGCAGAGGCCCCACCCTGCTTTGTCACTTTCTCACCCTGTTGACTCAGTTTTAGGGCCAGGACCAGCTAAGGCTAAGGGGTTCCACCCAACAAGCTGGGAGTCAGGACCCAGGCCTGTCCAGCATCCCCTCGACATTCTATTTGGGACTTGACCTGGGAGTCCTCTAGGGTTGTCTCCTGCCTTGGCATGTTGGGACCCAGGAATGGGAAGGGAGAGCTGAAGCCCACCAGCTGCACAGTCTCAGGGCCCCAAAATTATTTCCTAAGCTCCAGCCTCAAACCATCTTGCTTCAATCTCATGAAGGTAGTTTCCACCTGCCCAAGTTGGGGGAAAGAGGTCTCTCAGTCCTAGTCCCAGCTGTGTCCCCTTAGCAAACCACTGCTCTCACCTGGGCTGCTGGTCTCCCTGCTGTCAAATGGGACAAGTCATATTAGATGTGATGCTGCTGACAACTGCTCACAACAGTATAGTACTTTACAGATTCCGTGTCTGTGAAACGGGACGCTGATTATATGTACCCTACACAGTTCAGTTGAGGTTTAACTGAACTCATATGTGTGAAGTGCTGAGGACAGTGCCTGATATGACCGAGAGCCCAGGATACTGTGCGCTGTGGTGTGCAAAATTGCCTTCCTATCCATGAACTCACAGAAAGCTGCAGCCACTGGTGGCTCATGGCAGCACTATCCTGTTTATAATACCTAGGAGAAGCTGGATGCACTGGTGCATACCTATAATCCCAGCAACTCTGGAGATTGAGGCAAGAGGATCACAAATTTGAGGCAAGCCTTGACAACTTAGCTAGAACCTATCTCAAAATAAAAATAAAAAGGGCTGGGGATGTAGCTGATAAAATGCGCCTGGGTTCAATCCCCAGTACCAAGAAGGAAAAAAAAAGGAAGAGAGGTAGAGAGGATTAAATGATAGCTCAGAACCTACAAAGGCAGAACCCACCTACTTGTCTATCTCCCAGGCAAGAGCAAAGGTCACATGGTCCTGGCCATGCTATGAGCTCCTCCACTGTGGTCCTGCACTTAGGATGCCAACTGAGTTAATGCTGGAGTGCCCAGTCCACCCAAACCTCTTTCCTTCCTCTCTGCTTCTGGCTTATCTCTCTCAGCTGTCCATCCCTTGAGAACTGCTTCCGCCATCTGTCTGGCAGTGGAAACAGCCTGGGCTGTTAGTTGTAGTTGGACACCTGGGCTCCAATGCCTGCTCTGCTTATCAAATCACCTCAGTGTACCTCATCTGGAAAATGGGGGGATCACACCAGACTGCTGACTTGTGATGAGCCTCAGGACTTAACCTGCCCTTGCTGGCTCTCAGGAGGGGGACCACAGGCCCTGGCTTGCCCCAGGCAGCCAATTTCTTCTTGTGTCCCAAGATAACCTTTACTAACTAGGGCCCCCTTTCATCCCCAAACTGCCCCAGTTCTGATGTTAATTATATGGTGGTTATTCCCATGGGAGACCCCTGGACTGGGCTCCAGAGTCTGGCCCAATGGGCAGACCCGGTAAATGGACCTCAGCTCAGCTCCCATTTTATTAATGTGGAGACTGAGGGGAGAAAACTTTCCAAGGTCACCTCAGAGTCAAAGTTTGCCCCAATCCTGGACTGACGCCTCACCTGGGCCTCCTCCAGTGTGTCTCTTCTACACACTCATCATTCATTCAGATGTCCAACAGGACAGATAGAATCCTAGGGACCCAGGACCCAATTGTCCTGCTCTGCCTGAGGGAGAGCTCCACCCACAGGGCCAGTGTAGGACCCCCTCAGGCTGTCCCCAAAACCTGCCCAGGTTTCTCTCTCTCTCTCTCTCTCTCTTTTAATATTCTTTTAGTTGTAGTTGGACACAATATCTTTATTTGTTTATTTTTATGTGATGCTGAGGATAGAACCCAGGGCCTCACACTTGCAAAGCAAGTGCTCTACCACTGAGCCCAAGGCCCAGCCCCCCAGGTTTCTCTTAAACCAATTCCAAGCCCTAATCTTTGACTCTCCCTAGAGCCCAGGCCAGAGCCCCAAACTCAGAGTAAGTCCAGAAGAGCTTACCCTGGGAGGCGGGGTGTGTGTGGTGGGGGACTGGGTGAGGGTCTGGGTGAGGGAAGGTGGGCTGTCTCTGCTTCAGGTTGCCTAATTACTCCAAAAGATGATGACCCCTGACTCTGAGAAATACCTCCAGCCATACCTCAGACATGGCTTCCCTCAGCTCTGTCTCCCTTCCTGGAGTCAAAAAGTCTGATCTGGCTTCACTCCCCACCTGCTTTGATCCAAGCCTGGGAGCCATGGGTGCCCTGGACATGGGGTTGCCCTCCTGTTCTAGTTCTGCCCTAGGCAAGTGTCCCCTGTCACTCACTGCGTGGGAGCAGCTGTTTAATCATTGTGCCCAGCCTCCTGCTGCCCACACAGGAGCCAAGGAGCTGGTTGAACCAGCTTTCCCAGGCCCTGGTGCAGAGTGCAGCTCCACTTCTGCACAGGAAGGCGCCTGCCCTACTGGGCCCCCAGCCACAGCTACCTCCCTTGGCCTTCCCCGACCCAGAGCATACAGCCAGATCTAAGGCATCATTTTGCTTCTGGGCCAGACCCTCCCCAGAACCCCTTCCTGTTCTCTCCCTTGAAGGCTTAAGATCTCACTGTCCCCACCCCATCTTTTCTCAGGGGTAGGAAACTAAGGCCCAGAGAGGCAAAGACACTTCCCAGGGACACAAGGCAAACTAGGAAAAGCCAGACTAGAATCAGGCCTTGGATCTCCTGGAGCTGAAAGGAGGAAGGAAGGTGGAGATATGGGGTAGGGAACACACAGGAGGGAGAGGAGGAGGAGGAGGAGGAGGAGGAGAAAATTAGGAGACAAAGCATACTGGGAACTAAAGTTCTGACAGTCAATGTCCTGCTGATAAGGAGAGCTGCTGGCTTTCCCCAGAATCTGTTGGATACTGAGGACGAAGGGGGGCTTGCGGTCCCCCAGGCTCATCTGCCTCTGGGCCCCACCCAGAGTAAAACTCCCCACCAAGCCAGGCCTGACCTCAGGGCCTAGGGTCCAGGGGCCAGTCCCACGCCCTGCACAAGTTCTTCCTGAGTTACCAAGCAGCCCCAGGGAGAACCACACCTCTCTTCTGACATGTGCCTCCCCAAGACTCCAACACCTGCCTCCCCCTGCTGGGTCAGCCCCTGACTCACTCCTTAGAAGAGAAGCCAGGCTTGGGAAGGGGGATTAGATTGGCTATGTGGGCAGTGTCCTGACCCTTGCTGGCTCTCAGGAGGGGACCACAGGCCCTGTTTCTGCTCCCCAGCCCAGCCCAGAGCCCTTGTGTGACCCAGGATGAGTCATTTCCCTGGCAGTTCCTTGACATCCTCAGCAGTAACAGGCAGGGGCCCATCCTGTCCCTCTCCCAGAGAGGGGGCCATGAGAACTGAAAACATGGGCACCTGGGAGGCAGCCAACATGAATGTGTCCTTGGGGAGGTGGCAGGAAAAAAGGACAGTCCCAGCTGGTCCATGGACTCTGTGAAACCACTCTGCTGTGGACACAGGCTCTTTCATTTGCAAAATAAGGACAGAGATCCCCCTGCACAGATAGGGAGCTCTCAGATAGGGTGGAGTGGAGACATGAGAAGGCTCTGAAACTGCAAAGGTGGGTTCTGAGCTTATGAGAAGACAGGAGATAAGGAGAGAGCTGCACACTGTGCTCTTGTTATGAGGTTTGGTTCTGGGTCCCCCTGAGTCCCTGGACTCCTCAAGGGCAAGGCCTGGGGCCTGATCATCTCTGTGTTTCCAGAACCCAGCCTGATACCTTGAGGCTTCATGCATAATGAGATAAATGAGACAAAGAGAAAATGAATGAACTGACAAGAAGTTAAACATATAACTCTGAGAGGACAGGAACCAGGCCTGTCCACAATATCCCTGTACGTAGAGGGCACCTGCCACATAGTACATACTCAATTCATTTTTTGAGTGAATGATTGAGATCGAGACAGAAAGACTTGGTGAGCTGCTCCAGTCCATCCCTACATCCCCAGGCTCCAGCAAAGCACCAGACTCAGGGAGAGTCACCTGTCTGCATTGGGTCTTACCTTTCTGCAGGTGGATAATGTCTGGGAAGTTGGAGAGCAGGCCCTGGTAGAGAGAGAGTGTGTCGAGCATCTGGAAGAGGTCATTCTTGGGCTGCTCAGCGAACATCTCACCCACGGCTTCGTAGGTCCGACCAGTGTGAGAAATGGCACTGTTGAGGGCTTCAGAGCTAAAGGGGGGGTCCATCTGGAAAGCATGGCTGATGGCCTGGAAGGCACTGCCCAGCTTCTGGAATTCCTTGCGGAAGCCCCCCACATGCTTCCGCACCAGCTCTGACGCCACAGTGCTGAGCTGCAGGACACTGTCATCCATCTTCTTGCTGAAAGCCTTGAATGTGTCTACACGGTCCTCCACATCCTGCAGGTCCTGGTGCTCCGTGGGGATCTGGAAGGTAAGCAGGAAGCTGGCGCCCACCATCTCGTCCCTTTCTGCCCTGCGTTTGCCCATCTTCCACTGCTTGGCATCCAGGCAGCTGAGGAAATGCTGGAAGCCCTCGTACTGGGAGAGCACCGGGTGGCTGGTCATGTGGTCCATCCAGAGGATAAGACGCCGTTTCCGCTTCTCAATGAAGTCCTCCTCAAAGCGGCCTGTGGCCTGCTTCTCAGGCAGGTGGGGAACCGAGATGACAGTGAACTTGTGAAGTAGGCGGTTATAGAGCCAATCAAAGTGTTTGTAGCGCCGGTAGACTGGCGAGCCAGCATGGGTGGGTGTGAGCTTGTAGGAGATGTAGCTTTTGATGCCTTTGAACTTGGTCTGTTTCGTGGGGTCCTCCACAGAGCAGGCAAATGGGTGGGGGTTGGCCTTCCACTGGGGGCCACGAGGGCCCATTTCAATAGAGTATGTCTCAGCGATCTTGGCCATCATGGGCACATCCCCCAGGATGAAGGCCTCCACTCCAGAGCGCACAAAGCAGGAGAAACGGTTGAGGTTGCGTCCCACCACACTGCCTCTCTTGGCAGATGCCAGGCTGTCCTGCCGCTCCAGGGGTGGTTTGGGCCGGAAGGCCATGTGTTGGCTGGGGTAGGCACCCGGGTAGGAGAGGTTAAGTGGGGGGTGCCCATTGGTACCCAGCCCACCAGCCCGAGGCTCCTCCACCACTGTGCATCCATCATCCCAGTCATCCCAATCATCATCATCATCATCCTCAAAGCTGCCCTGGTTTGAGAGGAAGCCACTGCTCACACCACTTCTGGCTGAGCTGGCCACACTGGGGCTGTACAAGCTCACCTGGGTGCTTGAAAAATCTGCAGGGCTGCTAGAGTTGTCAGCATGGTTGGGGCTGATGCCAGCAGGGATGATCTCCACATAAGAGGCAGGGAAAAGTCCTGTCTCACCACGACTATTCTGCCCCTGTAGCCAGCCATCCAGTGAGGTCTCACTAAAGATAACCAAGTCTTCATCCTGCTGGATGCTGATTTCCTCCTTGTTCTCACTGCGAAAGTCATACAGGGCTCTGCCTTTCAGTGCCATGCTGGATAAAGAAGGAGATGGTCCTGCCCAGACAGGGATGCTCACAAGTCCGAGCACAAGAATGCACTCACAGCTCAATCTCTCAGCCCCTAAAATGGGGGTCTCAGCACCCACAGACTCTGTCCAGCCTCCCTCTCTTCAGAATAATGTCCATGGCCCAGAAACTACTCTATTAAGTCTCTGGGCATATGCTTGTGAACAGGGAGGGCTCATGTCTGTAGTCTTCCTCCCCTCCCTTGGCAGCCCCTGGAGGGGGGCTCTGCTTTCCACCACAAGCAGAAAAGTCAAATGACCTGGAGAAAACAGTTCTATGAGGGCAAGAATTTGACACTTTCCACTGGAACAATGTTCTAAAATAGACAAGAATCACTCAGAAACAACAGTCCCAGAACCCGGGGGCAGGGCTCTGCAATCCCTCTGGCTCTGGGCTGCTTCTGGCTGCTCCGGCTTTGGGAGGCTCTCACATTCCTCTGCAGATCTGCCCCTTCCTCCTTCCTCCTCCTCCTCCTCCTAGGCCACTGGGTTTTCAAAAATCCAGAAAATCCAAGAGGGGCAAGGAGAAAAGCAGCAGCCTCCTGAATCGAGTCCAAGGGTGGATGTGTCCGGCCTCACAACGAGCCAGGCCGGGAAAACAAGGGCCGAGGCTTGCACAACAGGCCTCCAACTCCACGACCCTGGCGGCTTGGCCGAGCCCCGCCGGCTCCTGTCCCCACTTGTCGCCCCTCAAGTGGCCAGCCCCCACCCTGGGGAAGGAGGGGGCGCGACGGGTCGCTCAGGCGACTTCTGGCCGGTCGCTCAGTGTCCTCTTTTGTTTGCCTAATTCCTCAGCTGTTTCTGCGCCTGAAGCTGACCCCGATCTGAGTCCAAGGACCCCAGTCCCGAGGTAGCCTAGCGGAAATCCGTCCGGGAGCCCGGGATTCACGACCCCCGTCCCCCACTCCTCGCGTGCCCCCAAACACTCAACAGTAGTTTGCAGAGGGAGCTCCGGTGAGTAGATGGCCAGGCTGGTGATTTGTCCGTCCGTCCGTCCTCCGCTCTGCCCTGCGGGGCCCCCGCTTGCACTTCTCCGGCACTCGCAGCCCCTCCAAGGCGCCGGCGAGAAGCCAGCTCCAAAACAAAACAAAACAAAACAAAAAGGCGATTCCGGGAGGTGGCGTCCCAAGGAAGGAGGGAATAGCCAAAGGGGAGGTGAGGGGTGGGGTGAGGGAGGGAGGGAGAGAGGAAAAGCAGGCTGGGGAATTGGGCAAACTCCACCGCACTTCCGCGCGTCCCGCCTGGGCAGGGACAGCCCGGCTCCGCCCTCCCGCGGGCCAGGGGCGCTGGAACCCGGCCCCGCCGACTCTTCTGCACCTCTTTCCTTGTGGCCCTCGCGCTCTGTCCAGGAGGCGAGACAGCCGGGACGATCCGGGACTTAGTGGGTTTCGAGCCGCCACCCAGCCAAGCCGCCCGCGCGGTGAAACACCTCTCGCCCCAGGGCCTTGAGCGCCGCGCGGGGGAGCTCGCCAGCCGCGGCCGCCTCGCCTCCCGGACTCCGTCACCCTCCTGCCTTTTCCGTGACGCAAGTGCAGGAAAACTCCGAAAGTTTGCAAAGCGCCGGGTGGCAACCAGGGCGGCCGATCCGGGACGGGGTGGGGTGCCTGGAGAGCCGCGCCCGCCGAAGGGGCCTCCTTTCCTTCCTACCCCTCACTAGGGCTGCGTCCGCACCGGGCCGTAGCGCGACTCCGGGATTGTTCTCTGGACTGGCTACCGCCTGCGCGGCAGCAGCCAGCGCCACCCAGGCGTCTGACCTGGGATACCGTCCGCTGCGTGCTCCAGTTTCTTAGAACACCTCTGCTCTGGGCAACTTCTTGGGGGCTGGTTGGAGGGGAGGGGACGGCAAAACCCTACATCTATAGAGACCGGGAACAAGCCTAGGACGCAGCCAAGTTCCCTGTTGCTTTGTGCTGCGGCCGGCTGGGACCAGATGTTTTGTGCTTTATCGCAGCAGCAAAGAGAAATGGTCTTGTAGAGACTTCAGAAGAGGCAAGCGTTTTGGACACTGATTCTGCTGGACACTGGGGAGCACCAGCAGCACTAGCAGTCCAGGTTCCTGCTAGGCACTTACAGTCTAGTTCCACTTGTCTTTAATTCATCCATTCTGTCTCATTCATTCAGTTATGGATTCAAGAAATTGAAGTGACTCAGTTACTCTGGAGGCTGAGACAGGAGGATTACAAGCTCAAAGCCATCCTCGGCAATTTAGTAAGGCCGTGTCTCAAAAAAAAAAAAAAAAAAAAAAGAACTGGGATGTAATTTAGTTGTAAAGCATCTCTGGGTTCAATTCCCAGTACTGCCAAAATAATAATAATAATAATAATAATAACAACAACAACAACAACAACAATTAACTGAGTACCTACTAATGTACCAGGACCTTGGGGTACACAGATAAGTAAAATATTGTCCTTACCTGCCAGAAACTCAGTTGTGTCCTGACAAGTAGAGAGATGCTCCTTGCACAGTGTGACCATTGCAATGAAAGGTGCATTGGGGAATGGAGGCCCATTGGGGAATGGAGGCGGTGCTCCATGGTAGAGCACTTGCCTAGCATGCACAAGGTCCTGGGTTTAATCCTCAACAGCTCCCCCCACCACACACACACACACACACACACACACACACACACACACACGGTGCATGGGAGGGCACCTACACTAGTCTAGGTGGAGCAAGAATCAAGAAAGCTTCAGTGCAGGTGCAGCGGTGTAGGCCTGTAATCTCATCAGTTTGGGAGGCCGAGGCAGGAGGATCACAAGTTCAAAGCCAGCTTCAGTAATTCAGCAAGACCCTAAGCAATTTAGTGAGACACTGTCTTTAAATAAAATATTACAAAAGGGCTGGTGATGTGGCTTAGTGATTAAGCCCTTGGATTCAATCCTATGTACTAAAAAAAAAAAAAAAAGAAAGAAAGAAAAGAAAAAGAAAGAAAAAAGAAAGCCTTTCTGGCCCGGCTACATAGGAGGCTGAGTCTAGAGGATTCAATTTGGGGCTAGTCTGGGAAAATTAGCAATACCCTGTCTCAAAAACCAAAAATAAATAAATAGAGTGCTGGGGAATGTAGCTCAGTGGTAAAGTGCTTGCCTGGTATGTGTGAGGCCCTGGGTTCAATCCCTCTCTCTCTCTCTCTCTCTCTCTCTCTCTCTCTCTCTCTCTCTCTCTCTCTCTCTCACACACACACACACACACACACACACACAGTGAAAGTGCTGAACTATTCTCTGAACACCAGGGATTTAACCCAGGGTTTTTCCACCTCTCACATACACTCTTAACCTTAAAGTGAAATATTTTTATCAAGTAACCTTGGTGTTGCTGAATCCCAATGATTTTCAGTTACTCTCTTATTCTCACTAGTATTTTAAAAAAACCCCCCTCCCTTTTGGATATACTTTCTTCATTTGTACCAGAGAGACCATACTGTAATTGGTTTCCCTTCTATGTCATTGGTTTATCCTCTTCTCTCCAATTATCTCTTTTTTTTTTTTTTTTTTTTAACTTAGAGCCTTTCACTTATTAGGCAAACACTCTGCCACTGAGCTAAATCCCCAGCCCTTTTTGTGTTTTGAGACAGGGTCTTGCTGAGTTGCTTAGGGCCTCAATAAGTTGCTGAGGCTGGCCTTGAACTTGAAACCCTCCTGCCTCAGCCTCCCCAGCCACTGTGATCACAGGCAGCATGCGCCACCATGTCGGGTTCTCTAATAATTATTAACACTAGAGTGATCACAATAGAGTGATCCTCTTGTATTTTCTATTCAGTCTGTGACCATACCACCCTGAACGCCCAGCCTTGTCTCTGTCCATGCATATATTCATATTCATTCCTTTGATTATCTTATTTAGGCCCATAGCATGGAACACCATATATTTAACATATTTGCTAATGACCCCCTCTCCCCATCCCAATCCAGTCCTTTTTTTTTTTTTTTTGGTGGTGGTACTGAATACTGAACTCAGGTGCTTTCTACCACTAAACTAAAGCCCTAGCCCCTTTGATTTGATTTTATTTTTTAATTTGGAGACAGATCTACAAAGTTACATAGGCTGGCCTTGGACTTGCAATCTTCCTGCCTCAGCCTCCTTAGTTGCTGGGATTACAGGCAAACACCACTGCACCTGCCTTCTAGGATTCTTCTTTTATCAGCATCTTTCTACTGCTCTCCTGGTCCCAGCTGCCTTTTTTCCCACTGGATCACTGTAGTAGCCACCTGATGGACTCTGCATTTCCATTTCTGCTTTCCTAGAATCTATTCTCACTACAGCTTTCAGAGTGATTCTTTTTAAATATAAGTTAGGTGTCAATTCTCTGCTCAAAACCCTACAAAGTCCTTACAAGGGCTTGGAAGCCTCTATGTTATCTGATACCCTTTAATATCCTCCTTTCCCACTCTGTTCCAGCCAAGACAGCTTTGTAATCCCTCTTCTGGCATGTCAGGTACATTCTTATCCTAATGTATTTGCACTATTTCCTCTTCCTGAAATGCTCTTCAGTCCCCTGAATATGCACAAGGATTAACTATAAAATAGAACTTTCTCAACAAGACCTACCCTGGCATACCCTATTTAAAATTAAAACCTGCAGAGCAGAGTACTGCCTGCCTGGAATCCCGGTGACTTGGGAGGCTGAAGCAGGTGGATTCTAATTCAACCCCAGCTTCAGCAACTTAGCAAGGCCCTAAGCAACTTAGCAAGACCCTGTCTCAAAAAATAAAAAAGAATTGGGGGTATAAGTCAGTGGTTAGGGACTCCTAGGTTCAATCCTCAGTACCTAAATAAATAAATAAATGGTTGGGGATGAAGCTCCATGGTAGAACAGAACAGTGGCCAAAAAAAAATAAAAAATAAAAAAATCTATAGTCATTTCTTATTGCAGCTATAATGAATAATCACAAATGTAATGCCTTAAAATAATACAAATCTATCATCTTACAGTACTGGAAACTAGTAATCCAAAGTGGATCTCACTGGGCTAAAAAAATCAAGATATTGGCAGAGCTATGTTCCTTCTCTGGGGAATAATCTCTTTCCTTGCCTTTTCCAGTTTCCTAGAGGTTGTCTATATCTCTTGGCTCTTGGAACACTTTCATTATCATAGTCAGCAATCTCATCAGGCTTCTGCTTCCATCTCTGACTCTTCTGACTCCCTCCTTTACTCATAAGGACTTCTGTGGCTCTTGTAATTACATGGGACCCACTTTAGGATAATCTCCCCATGCCAATATTACCCCCCACTTTTTTTTTGCATTTAAAATTTTCAACTGCAGGGCCGGGGTTGTGGCTCAGTGGTAGAGCACTTGCCTAGCATGTGTGAGGCACTGGGTTCGATTCTCAGCACCATATATAAATAAATAAAATCAAGGTCCATCAACAACTAAAAAATATGTTTTAAAATTTTTTACAATTTCAAATTGCTAAATTATTGTATATATTTATGACATACAGAGTGATGTTGTGATTTATAAATACAATGTGGAATTAAGTCAAGATAATCCATTATCTCAATAAAGAGTCTTAAATATACCTGCAAAGTCTTTTAGGTAGTGTAAGGTAACACATTCACAGGTTCCTGGTGGACATCTTTAGGAGGTCATTATTCTACTTACCATACAATCTCATCAATCTCAATAAACAAAGGACACAAAGAGGCATTTCCCGGAGTAAGAAACATATAAAGCTTTTATTCATTGAGGCAATGCAAATTAAAGTCACAATGAAATACCATTACACATTGGGCCCACGGTGGTACATGCCTATAACCCACTTCAGCACCACATAAAAATAAATAAGTGAAGTAAAGGTATTATATCCAACTACACTAAAAAATAAAATATTTAAAACAAACAAACAAACAAAATAGCTGGGAATGTCTCTCAGAGGTAAAGTGCCAAAAAAAAAAAAAAAAAGAAGGAAGGAAGAAAACAGATACACATCTACACATCACATTGGCAAACATTTTAAAAACTAATAACCAAGCCTGGCACAGTGGTACATGCCTGTAATCGAAGAGATTCTGGAGACTGAGGCAGGAGAATTGCAAGTTTGAGGCCAGTCTTGGCAACTAGTAAAGCCCTGTCTCAAAATAATAAATTAAAAAGGGCTATGGATATGGCTCAGTGGTACAGCATCCTGGGTTTAGCTGAGTGTGGTGGCAAAGCAGCTCAGGAGGCTGGGGAAGGAGAATAGCAGGAGTTAGGACTGCCTCAAAACAAAACAAACAAACAAACAAAAACTGGCTGGGGATGTGGCTGGTGCTTCTGGGTTAAATCCTTGGTACCAAAAAAAAAAGAGGACCCTTGGGTTTAAACTCCTTTACTGCAAAACACAAACAACCTAACAATAACAACAAAAATAACCAAGCATTTATGAGAATATGAAGAAAAGGGGATTCTTTTTTTTTTTAAGAGAGAAACAGAGAGAGAGAGAGTCAGAGAGAGAATTTTCATATTTATTTTTTAGTTTTCGGCGGACACAACATCTTTGTATGTGGTGCTGAGGATCGAACCCGGGCCACAGGCATGCCAGGCGAGCGCAATACCGCTTGAGCCACATCCCCAGCCCTCTTTTTTTTTTTTAATACCTTTATTCTATTTATTCATTTGTATGTGGTGCTGAGGACTGAACTCAGGGCCTCACATGTGCTAGGCAAGCGCTCTACTGCTGAGCTATCACCCCAGCCCCAGGCAATTCT